ACAACCTCTGCCTCTATCCCTCAACATATGGGTGACCTATTTGCTTGTAAAAATATAAAGCCTTTTCATTAATTAATAAAAAAAGGGGATATGTAGGGAGCCGGTTCCTGCATTATCCATTACAATAATGGTGCCTAAAGACACCAAGATGTAAATTACTTCACAGGCGCTGGGTAATCTCCATTCCTTTGATCTCTGCCTATCCCGTGGCTCATTTGGCCTGAGAAGCTGAAGCCATTCATAGGGTAACACGTCCCAGGCGGCTGGCCAGCCTTTATAAGGGATGGTTTTCTTGGTTCAATGTCTCCGCTCTGGTCTCCGCTCTGGTAAGCTTATGCTCTCCCCTCACAAGATGCATTAAAAGCTTGTCTGCAGAAGGATCCGAGTGTCCTGCGTGTATTTCTTGCTGGCGAGAAAATATAGCGCGCGGGACACCTCAGGCTCTGCATGTTGTGTATACAGAACACAGAAGGATCTACCGGAAGACACAACTGGGAATTCCAGCTGGGATATTCTATCTGATTTGAGGGTTGTGTGGCAACGGTGGGTGGCTCATGACCACAGACAGTCTCCTGTGCCTTCAGCCTCTCTTCTCTCTCTTCTTTTCCTTCATACCACTTATATGCTCTAATTACTGCCCCCCCCGCCAGTGTCTCCCTTCACTAGTATGTTATAGCAGAAGGGGAGGGCCTTCACCTGACTGTTGACACTTTGTCCCTGTACCTGACTCAGGGGAGACTGTTGTGAGAGACTTTTCCTGGAGAGACATAACATGACAGACAAAAGTAATGGCTACACCCGTGTCCAACTTGGTGAACCAATGCATTCTTACTGGGGATACTAATGAGAGTATGAGGGAGGCGGTACTTACAAGGAGCAGGGATGACTCAGAAGCAGCTGCATCATCAAAAGCTCGCTTTGACATGGGCTTAGATTCCTCCTGCAGGGTCCAAGCAGCATTAGCCTGGAAATGCTGGTATCATCTACATCTCACACTGACTCATAACATGAGTAGCCATGCATCTCCGTGAAGGGTTTCTTTGTTTACCCGGGGACTATGAAGGTTGCTATCTTAGGCCTCCCAACCAGGTTCTGCTCTCCTGCTGACCCCTCAGGCAGAGGGCCAGCTCTTCTCTGTTCCCTTTAAATCCTGTATCCCCAGACTTCTCTGGGTATTCCAATTGGTGCTGAGACTTACCTGCCATAGTACAGGCAAAGGAACAAAATCATTAGCAAGGGAAGGTAGTGGATCCTCAAGGTTCCCACTGGGCCTAGAGCAGAGAGGAGAGACTACTGTGCTGCTCAGGGGATGTGGCAATCCAAGGCCTGAGTGTGGCCTTATTTTAATGGGCATAGGATTTTCTATGTTCATAGACACCCTTTTTAAAATTATATTTAAAATCTTCACCCGTCAATACCAGCTCCCTCTCCCTCCCCTCCCCTCCTGTCCCCCATCACCCTATTCACCCTCCAGTACCCAGAGAGGGTAAGACCCTCCATGGCAATCGCCAAAGTCTGTCATATCATCCAGGGCAGGGCCTAGGCCCTCCCCCATGTGTCCAGGCTGAGAGATCATCCTTTATGTGGAATGGGCTCCCAAAGTCCATTCATACTCCAGGGATAAATACTGGTCTACTACCAGAGGTCCCATAGATTGCCAAGGCCTCCTCACTGACACCCATGTTCAGGGGGGTCAGGATCTGTGGGAAAAAAGTGGCCCTGACAGAAACCCAACAACTTCTCAATGCCATTGCAAAACACGTTTACTGGAGCAGAATGTTGTTTCCCTCCGAGAACTCTGTGACCACGCCCTGAACCCAGGCTTGAGATTAACAGCCTTTCCTGAGCTCCCCCTCCCTCTTCTGGTGCTAGGGTATAAAACCAGCCCAGGAAAAAAAATAAAGAGCCTTCTTTCCACCAAGCCAGCTCTCTGTGTTGTTAACCCTGACACCCTCCTCAGATTCTCGGTCCTAGGTGCGGCAATTGGAGGTCCTACCGAAATCTGAAAGTGAGGTAAGTGGATGGGTCTTCCCTTGTGCCGGCTGGACGTATTGGGGTAGATAATAAAAGAAAAATGGGAATTCACCCGGAAAACTTGTATTACAATATCAGCTAAAGAAATTACTAGAGGATCAGGGAACTGCAGTCAAAACCAAAACTCTCGAAGGCTTCTTGAAATCAATAGAATGAGCGAGCCCATGGTTT